TATATATATATATATATATATATATATATTCTCTTATCTTGCTACATAAGAAAAAATCAATTTGTTATTTATCACTTTTTATTTTCAAAATTCAAAACTCTAAGTTAATTTTATTTACAAATTTACTAATAAAGTTCGACTCATTTAGCATTTAGTTAACTTTTAAGTATGTCGATAGAAATTTGATTCTTAATTATTTGTATGGAAAGATTTGGTTATATTAGATAAAAGTTAAGAATGTATTTTTTTTTTTGGAATTTTTGTTGGGGATAACACGTAAATGCACACATAACAAAGATCAGAGAGTGAAAACTAAGTAGATAAAAACTTTAATCTCACACTTATGTATTACACGTGACTACTCAGAACTCTTATTAATGAGTAGTAATACAAACACATATTTATAAAGTACATTGATAAATGATACAAACATATAACATTGACAGACTAAGGTACACAGATGATACTTATAGTCTATACTATCAAACTATATTATCAGAAGATACATTCAGACTATACCATTAGACGATACACTTATAGACTAAACCTTCAAACTATGTGTACAGGCTAAATATGCACACTATATATAGAGACGATACATGTAGACTATACATTTGAAATACAATACTCAACACTCCTTTTTAATTCAAATGTTCCAAGGACATAATTTGTTGGGGATGACACACACAAAAATACATATTTGCAAATTACACATGACTACTTATGCCTCTTATTAATAAGTAGTAATACAAATACTTACTTATAGAGTACATTAATAGATGGTGCAAATATATAACATTGATAGACTAAGGTACACAGATGATATCCACATACTATGCCATTAGATTATACTATCAGATGATACCATCTAACTATATCATTAATACCATCAAACGATACATATACAAACTAAACTTTCGTATTATATGTATATTAGACTAAACATGTACACTATACATATAAATAATACATACAAACTATATATTTGAATTATAATACTCAACAAATCTAATGCACATTTTTTCCGAGGAACAAAACATAGAAGGTAATTTTTGTTGATTTGGAAGTAAAAGTAATTTTAATTTTTCCAACTAAATCCAAGCATGCACTTAGTTGGGACCGGTAAAATTTATTTAGGCAATTTTCATGCTTCGAACGAATTAGTCTATAAGGATATGTTAAAGAATATTCTTGGTGCAATCCAAAACTTGTCAATTTTTATTCATTAAATTAAACATTTGAGTCAGTTATTCAACCGTTCATTTGTTTGTCTCTTGACTAAGAATATTTTCGTTGTTTTAGGGTATAACCTTTGATAGCCTACTTTTTTTTACCCTTTTTTTTATATTTTTTTTTATTTTTTATTTTACATTACTTTGAATCTTTGATAGCTTATGTACCGGATCAAGTACTAAAAATTCAAATGAGAACATTTCATAAAAATAATAGTATAACCAGGTCAGGTCAGCACATAAAATTAACATTTCTTTTGGCTATTAGCTAGTGGCTTATGATTTCCAAGAGTGGAAAGCAATCAAAGCACAACTCACAGAATTCTTTAAAATGAAGTCTTCAACCTCTACACAAAAATGCATCTCTAAAGGACATAGGGAAAGGAAATTTTTTGGTTCTTAGAATGATATGAACATCAACTACCCAAAACTAATTATTTCATTTAAAAGCCGATGGTTGACATTTTCCTCCACAAGTTGCTTATTCTGTGGTAGTGGGAACTTAAAGGCACTAGGAGTTGGTGGGGCCCTTGGAACTTATGCTTAATGCTTTGTTCGGTGGAAAGAGAGAAATTAAAAGGTATGGGAGGAAATAAATGAAAATTATTTTAATAGAAAATAGAATAGAATAAAGTAGAATTTGTAGTTGTTTAATAAAGTGTAATTGAATGAGAAATAAAGAAAATTTGTATTTTAAAATTATATTTTATATAAAAATAAATAATATATAATAATTATTTTATCTCTCTTCTTATATTCATGTATAAAAGTGAAATTGTATTTTTTTTACATATATAATGTAGTAATATAAAAAGAGGATATCTTATAACATAGTCGAATATAGAGAGCTCCATAATGCTAACGTATTTGAATATGTTACACGCTTTTTTTTAATAGGAGATAGTAACTTGTTATATTAGAAGTATGAACTTCTTGTGAACAAAGAAAATGAAAGATGCAATAGGATCAGCCACAGTGAAGGGAAGCAAAATGAATTGATCTGAATTATTGTCTAACCAGTACAATACAAGGAGTCTATTTATAACAAATAATTCATAACCATATATAAATAGATTTGATAACCTATAATAGCCGGTAAACCTGTAACATAATCCAATATGTTACATAACAAAAGAAAGAATAGTTATATTTGTAATTGTAGGTACCCATTCTCCAATTTCACTATAATCTTCTAATGTGAAAAGGTATTACTGCAATCATGGGATCCACCATATATTTTTCAGAATTCACCTTAAATCACCTTCTCAAAACTCAACTAATTTTCTAAAATTTCCTCTAATTCATCCCTCTGTAATATGTAAAGATGCTGCAGTAGCAATTAAGGAACCTAAATATACTGAGGAGGCTACAGTTAGTGGGTATGTACACGTGGCAAGAGATTCAAATGATGCGGGAAGCAAGAAAAGTATGAGGGCATGAATAAAAAACTCACGTTTGAAGGAATTGGGGGTAGCAATTAAATATATAGACTAAGGATATGATGAAAAAGGGAGGAATGATGTTACTTTCTCTCTCTATTCTGTTTCTATGAAATCTCTTATAGTTATCGTCGTCCCTGTTGTGGATCTTCTACTATCACTACATGTACCCCAATCTGCATCAACATAAGCATGCAACCTTGTGTCAGAATTATCTTTAAATAAAATACCTTGATCAGCAATATGCTTGAGGTATCGAAGTAACAATGTTGTTGCATTCATGTGGTCAATGTGAGGATTGGACACAAATTGACTCAGCTTGTGGACAACACCGTTTAAGGTCCGGTCCGTAAAACTTATATTTTATACGGGTCGGATAAATTTGGTCTGTAAAATAAATGGATTTATTTTTTAAGTCCGTATCCGGCTTGCCAAAATCTGCGAATAACAGACCGGTTCGCGGGCCTAAATAATGGTTCAAAAAAATAAATTTTTAAAAAATAAAAATACATAAAATTAGAAGAAAAAAAATATTTTTTATTTATAAGCTAAATTTTATCATACTAAAATTTATCAATAGTTAAAATAGTTTAAAATTCTAAATATTAAAATATTAAAATAAAAATAATTACAAATACTTAAATAATAGTACCAAACTTTCAATAATAAAAGTATCAAAATGTCATCAAAATAATTTAAATGACAAATACATGCCAACTAAATATAATTTT